GACATTTTCAACCTCTCTTTAAGAACGTATGGTAAATCTTAAGATTTTTGAGAAATTAAGAGAAACAAGATTTAAGTTGACAAATGTGAATTTCTTAAGAAAAACTAATGCTTATACTAATATAAAAATTACCACTAATACGTTATGCAAGCAATACTATTGTTTATAAATACTAAAATAATTAACCAAAAACGTCTAAATAGGTTTTTAAAAACTAAATACGTTTTTATATATATTACTAGTAGATGGAATAGTACAGTATCTACTATTCTGTTTCAGCATGCCAGATAACATTTATTCAAACCGATAACATTCTTATTATATCTTGTTGTAATTTGCCAAAGTGTTGTACAAAATAATTGATATGGCAACCCTGCTAGTATGACGATTCGCTTGAAGCGTTTCGAGGCCGAAAGTAATGCAATCTATCGATGATAAATACTACCAACGTTTGAGATGGAGCCACCTCTCTAATATACAATTTGGTGCCGGCAATTCAAGATATAATTATTGTTTAACGAGATTTTTCATATGTTTAGGAAAAAATATTCAACGTTTTATTGCAAATATTTTCCACTTTTACAGTTTTATATATGTTGTTATTAAAAATTTTTCCGGTTTCTTACCGGTAGCTTTATTATAAGCCGAAACATAATATTTTTTTCCATTGTGACATAACTGTAAATTCAAAAATTTTCAAAAAATTCATCAGTATGTCTTAGGGTTATATCTTTATGCTGTAAGAAAATGAACAAAATTGTATGTCTGGTTTTCCCGCTTTATACTTGGAAAAAAGTAGTTTTTTAGAGTTTTTTTGAAAACGAAAACATGAAGTTTGTTCAAAATTTGTCAAAATACTTCTAGTTGTCACATATACCTTCTCAATTTTTTTCAAATTTTTTGAATTTGTAGTTTGTTTTTTGGGGGGTGCAGATCAACCTTAAAGAAGCAAGTTTATCTAAAAAAGTTTTAGAATTACAAATAACACATAATGATTTTCCGTTGCTGCTAAGAAATTCTTCCTCCCACTCATTATTAAAACTTCTATTTTCTTGCTCATTATTTTGTTTATTTATTTATTTTTTTATATACATTTATTTTTGTTCTCTGTTGTCATATTTTCTTTTATCAAATAAAAGAACAGTATTTAATTATTGATCAAATAGTACCTTTAATTTATAAAAATTAAATCAATTTAATAAAAATTTTCATTTTTTAAAAAATATATTTATAAATTTTTATATATTTTAATTGATCTTTCTTTTTATAGCGGTCCTTATTTTATAACTACTTTTTCTGTACTAGGACTTCAAATAAGGCTAAAAGCTTTGTGTTATTAAAACAATAACACGTCTTTATACTAGGAAACAAATGGTATGCTTACCAAAAATTTCAGATTACAAACTTATATTCGTTCACGCAGTTTTCGACGTGTCACATCATTCTTAACTTGGACGGAAATGGAATTTTTTGCAACAAAGTTGCACTTAATCTTACATATTTTATTGTCAGTAATTTAAAAGACATTTTGAAATACATACGGGACGATTATAATTTTTTAAAACATACAAAAATGGAAAGGAACTCCGGTACATTTATCGCGAGCTATCCTTCAAATATCTGCATGTGTCTCACGAGCGTGCAATTTAGCCACCCCTGTATTATACTATTAAATACTGTTGAATTTAAGAATTTTTGATAAATTGTGTGTGTGTTACCACTTAAATGGGCAAATATACGCGTATTTTATAAATTCCTATATCACGCTACTTGTTAAATCTGATATAAAAAGTTGGCATTGTTTTTGTAAAAATATTTGGAATAGCATCAACTTTTTTCACCTTATCTTCTACAAATATTTATCGTTCTTTAAAACCGATTTGTTGGGGAAATCCATTCAAAGTTATCTACAATATTGATTTAGGACCAAAAAAATCGATGTAAATAGAGTTTGATAAAAATATTTACATTGGGAAATTACGTCTAGGTATATATTGTTTGTGTAATATGTTATGCAAAATACTCTTTTTAAAATACAGAACGATTTTTAATAGATTAGAAACCATGATTATAAATGCAGAAGCTTGAATTAGAACGTATTGATGATTACACCTTAGAAATCAAATCAATCAACATTAAATACTAAATGAACTCATTAGATGTAAAATATACAGTGGATCAATTAGAAAACATAAAAAGTGCTGCTAATATTATATTTATACGTCGGTCTTTTCATAAAACACAACTTAGTGAAACAATGATCAGGATAAACGCTGTTCATTATTTTTGCTTTTGATATGAGTCCATGGTATCCAGTATCGTCGCTATCTTGGATTTGTTATTTCATATCATGGAGCTATTTTATATCAACGACTATTATTTTATTTTCTATTGGTGTTTATTCCTTCTTCTTTTAAATCTATGCTGGAAAAATTAATTTTATACAATATTTTGTCGATGTGTCGATACATTGATAGGAATTTTACTCGGCATTCGGCTTCCATGCATCAGTCTTTCAGACTTAGATCTTCGCGATCCTGGTATGTGCTCAGGAGATAATAGATAGGGCTTGCTTAGACAGGACCATCTCTATCTGCTCTGACAGTCAGACAGACAGGGTTAACTTGGTATGGGACCGGGACACACAGGCGTGGAAGGGAACGAACGGGATAACTCTCTGGCAAGACAGGGCTCATCTAATCTGCATGTGGGACCCGAACCTGTGATTGTAGTGCCCTTCAGTACTGGTCGAGGTAGTCTCTTCACATAGTGGTACCATCCAAAAGCCTTACAGTCCAACTTCTTCTTCTAGGCCGAAGAAGATGCTCCCTGGATCAAAATGTTTACCGGTCACTCTAGACTCTAGACACCTTCATCTGCTTGGATTGACGGATAGCTCAGGGCAGAGACAGGAAACCTCCTCATATGTCCTCTAGAAGGGGCAGAAATATACATTGAGGAGGGAGAGGCAAAGGAAGCATTAAGGAAATTTAAAAAATAGAAACCTAGGAGAGGACAGAATACCGAACGAATTTCTAAAGTACGGAGGACCAGATCCGACCAAACAACTACTAAAACTAATCCAAAAAATAATAAAACAAAAGATAATTCCTCAAGAACAAAACAGAATTCCTCAAGAACAAAACAGAATTCCTCTAGAATGGAGATCAAGCACCCTAATACCTCTCTTTAAAAAAGGAAACAAATCGGACTCTGAAAATTACAGAGGAATTAATTTATTAAACACAACACTAAAATTAGCAACCAAAGTGATAACAAATACACTAAATGAAATTATATCACTAGCAGAAGAACAACAAAGTTTTAGATCGGAAAGATCAAGCACCGATGCTATATCTATAATGAGTCAAGTGCAAGACAAATCGTTAAAACAAAACAAACCAGCATATTTACGTTTCGTGGACTTTAAGGAGGTACTTGACAGAATAAAATTAAAAGACGTTATCCATTTATTGTACGCGAGAGAGATACCTCTAGGAATAATCAAAACGATCGAAAGTATCTACCAGAAAATACAACAAAAGTAAAAGTAGGAGAAGAACTAACTGACCCAATTGAAGCTGACAATTATAAAAACAGGGGAGTTCCCTGACTTCTCTATTGTTCAACCGGATCATGTATGAAATAATAAAAAAGGTAAAAAAGGATACCAAATGAGAGAAAACACAACTTAAAATAAGCTGCTATGCAGAAGAAGCAATACTAATCTCTCAAGGGAAGAAAGATGATTTACAACGTATGCTGCACCAATTTAATATAAGCGCCAGAAAAGTTAATCATTTTAATTTCCTCAAAAAAAAACACAAAATGAATGGTTATAGGTTAATTATAGCTGGGGATCAGATAATAGAATAAATAATGAGGTTTAAATATCTAGGCATCACACTATCTATCTAAAGAAAGCTCTAAACAGAAGAGGAAGATCAAGTGAGCAGACCAAACAGAGCGACAGCTTCCCTGAATGAAACATATGGAGAAATAAAAATATCGAGAAAGAAATAAAAGCATAATTAACAAAACAGTCATCAGACTACTGCGGAAACACAACATGATAGAGAGGACATAAATAATGCTAGAAACATCAGAGATAAAAATCTCCACCCGAAGGTGGAGAACATTAAGGACTTAATAAGAAATATAAGAGTAGTATGGAACGATCATATAAGCCGAATGACAACAACTAGAGTGTCATAATAAATACGGCGAGAGACGGTGTCCCAATAGGAAGACATTCAGTGGGAATACCACTAAAACGATGGAACGACAACTACTGGGAAGTACTATTGAAGACCGAGAGAGTCATATCTACACTAAAAGAAGAAGATATCGGTCCTAAAGTATAGCTGTGAGGCCTGAAGTCTAAACGATAAACTGAAAATTAAAATTCAAGTTAATTTAATTTAAGAAATAAGATTCCACGGAGCAATACTGGGAGAAATTACGAAAGACTGAATGAGATCATTAGGAAAAATTGAACGTCAAACCTAATTACTAAGTATGTACCTACTACAAAACAATAGAAAGTAAAACTTATTTGTAAGATAGATATTTACAAGAAAAGAAAATACAACTGGATGAGACCTCCACTCTAAACAATATTGTGAAGACTGAATTATGTGCTTATAATAAATTAAGTTCTTGTTCGGTAACTCCATAAATTCCATGATGTCAGGGAATTACTACCGTTGGTGCATGTCTGTTTAATATTACATTGTTTTATTTATTTTGGTTAAAGACAAAGTATAAGCTCTGCAGACAAGTATAAATACAACGAAATTAATATTACACCCAAGAATAAATCAAATAATGTTCGCTTGTTTGATCTGTTAATTTTTTTTATACCTGTATCCAAAACATACCTGATTTGTTTTCTCGGAATAAAAGGGGGGCATTGTACCACTCGTTAATAGCTTTTTTTTTCAAATTTGTTACAGAAATTGACTGGTTATTTTTATTCTAATAGAATGCATTTGTTTCAGACACTTCAACGGTTGAGGAGTGTTTAAGTAAGCAAGAAGTTAGAGGACAGGAACAGAGTACAATGTGGCTGCTGGATATACCTCAAACACACAATGGTAAGTAATATACAAAGTGTATACATTTTTTAAAAAGTAATACATCTTCAAAAATTGAATTCTTGGCTCACGTCGCTTTAAACTATGCATTAAATGTTGTATATAATAGTTCAAATGTCACAAAAGTTTTGCCTAGACATCAATCTTGATAGACAAAAATCCTTCGGTTCCATAATCAATCAAACCATAGTAATTTAAAAAAATTATTTGCGACATTCGAAAAAAAAATAGTATGTTCTATTCGGAGTAAAAGTGATTTTTGTGCTTCGGCTTGTAGGACTTGTTGCATTCATCCTTCAAACGTACAGCCTCGCCTCGCAAAAAGTATGATTTTCACTCGTAATAAAACAGTATACTATTGTTAACACTAATAAATAATATTAATACTTTTACATACCTGTATAAAAAGTTTACTGTTTACTTGCATTTAATTGCAAGCCTTTTTCCTATAATTTTTTCTTTCTGGAAGTAGTTTATTATTGGCGACGTGCAAGTACTTGGATGTGATACGAGAAACGATCGTGCGCGAGCAGCGGAGAAATCTTGCATTTTTTACTGCACATTTCATAGATTTCATAAATTCATATTGTCAATTGTCAAATTGTCATATTTCATATTCGTTTGTTTATTTACACCTTCTGTCATTGAAGAAAATGGGATTTAGTAAATGCTGTGTTATAAATTGTAAAAATACAACAAAAAATTGTCAATTTAAGTTTTATTCGTTTCCAACTTCGAAGCACAAATTACTACAAAGAGAAAAGTGGGTTTATAAAAAAGCATAAGTAACATAACCTAAATTATGCAATATTCTTGCGCCCAATTTTAAAGTCTGTTTTAAATAAATAATAAATAAAAGTTCACTTTTAACTGAAAATTTTAGTTTCATAACACTCACTTAGAGTTCACTTTAACCCAAAAATCGAGTTTTATGCTAATGTAACTTTAAGTTTAGCTATGTATTACATAGCTTTGTCCATTTTTTCTTAATTCTTCCACATTCTTAACATAATTTGCCACTACTAAAGCTTTTCCCTTTTACTCAGTGCTTGGTTGAAAAGTTATTTGGTGATTTACTTTCTCAAATCCAGTTTTTATTATTGCATCCATATTAACAGTAATGCTATAATTTAATAATGTATTTAATTGTATTTACACTACATACAACTTTACATTTTAATAACATACCGACATAACCTCAATCTTACTTTTTCTTCTTATTCTTTTTTGGGGCTACGTCCTTGACAGTTATCCGGTAACCTCGATCTAACATGAAAGCGCAGTAAATTTTGCTGATTTACGACACCAGGTGTCGCTCTTCCGAACTTGCACGGTCCCAATAGGCCGGTTGTTCTGCACACAATTGACTTAATCTTGCATTTATTCATAATACTCATTCTATATTTCTGGAACCCTATATAAGCTTGTACAGGTTTAGTGAATGTTACCATTTATGTTTTTAGAGTCACTAGGTAATCTCCAAAAAGTGTGTAGTCATACATTATACGGTTTGACTATGGTTACTTACGATTTTAGTTTCTATGGTACAATGTCTACAGTTCAAGTCTCCATAAAGCAGCCTCATTCTATGTAGTTGTGCCTTCTTGACTGGCGCATGTTCAGAAACGAAGTGCATTGATTCTGAGCCGATATATGTCTGCTTGTTTTCCAATGTATATCAGTGATATTAGCGCATGTCCGGTAAATGTGTAAATTTACATTTTGTTATTATACTTTCACATTCCTAAACTAACCTAGAGACTAGCTTAGGACTCCTGAGAGTCTCTATAGCCGCTTGAGTATTTGAGCTAAATTGATCCGCTTAAATTAAAAAACCCTCATGTAGATTTCTCTTGCACAATGCAAGATTGCATAACTCTCTGCCTGGAATGCAGTGATATATTCTAGTGAAATAGAAATATTTACCTCTTTATCATTCCTATAAATTCCGGCACCCTACCCTTCTGCAGTTTTAATACCAGATGTAAACCTGGACCATGAGTTATGCGGTCCCTCTGTCCATCCTTATCCTTGGCGGATGGAGCACCTGCAAAGTTATTTTAAGCTTATATCTAAGTACTATATAATCAGAAGCTATCAAGCATCATTCATAGAGCATCCCTAATTTCATATAGAATATTCTTACATCCCGATTTAACCGTTACATTACCCAGGTTTTCCCGCAGTCTATAATATCCCATTCTCGTCGTTCCCCTTATAACTATGTATGAAGACAGAAGATCATCCAGCAGTGCCGCCATAGCTGCTGTTGGTACAAATCCTCTGCAGTTGCATGCAAACATGTCTCATTTAAACCCAATATTTTTCCATGAGTCCATCGTGCTATTATTAAAGTATTGTTCTGAAGCTATTTTCTTGTGGCATTTTAAATTAATTGCTATCTGGGAATAAGCCACAATTAAAGATACAAATACGTTTATTTTTATCTTTAATTGTGGCTTATTCCCAGTTAAATAGCAATTTACTATTAAAGTAGTCACAGGTGTCTTCTATCTACTGATTTCAAGTAGTCTAGTAATACCCTTAAGGTACTTTTTACGTCTTCCTGACGGCTTATATTAAGCTCTATATTTGAAGTCCATTCTGGGTCTACAGTAAGAAACTATTGTATTATATCTCTGACTATGCCATTAAATTTTTGGTGAGCTCACAAGGCCATCCTCATTGAGTTAGTTGGGACATTTAGAAAGAATAAAAGAAGAAATAATAACAAAAAGATTAAAAAATACAGAGATGTGTGACAAAAAAGAGTAGGTCGACCAAGAAAGCGATGGTTAGATGAAGCAGAAAAGGACATTAAAGAGAAATGTATAAGACATTGAAGAGAAAAAAATAAGAACCATAAATAATTGAGAGCAATTGTGAAGCTATGGGCTTAAAGGGCCTGCGTTAGAATTATATATTATAATAAACAAAAAAAAAAGAGGTATACACAGTGAAACCGAACATGTATTACTTAACAACTGATTAAAACGAAACGAAAAGCACAAAATAAGACATAGACAATTCAACTAAGGTAAAATGTGAGATATTTGACGGCTATGATAAATCCTCATAACTTTTTTAAGCCTTCTTCCAGAAAACATGTCATAACATATGTGGGCATTTATAAGCATCGTCATGTATAAAAAATTTTGATAGCCAATATTACAGTTTATTGTTAACAAGGATAGCGGGAAAGCATATGGTCTTGTCGATCAATACCGGATATATTTTTATTATGCTTCTTGATGGGCTGTGGTTTCATTACTTTTTGGCAACGGGAAATTGTTTCACCTTTGGCAAGTTTTTTTTTGTTTTACTTCTGCAGGATTATTTTTGTGGTCAATTATAAAAGTTTTTGTGGAGTAAGTTTCAACTTCAAGCATATTCTTAGCTAACTAATCATTGTTATAAAAATTATCCATGCGTACACAGTGACTAACATTAAGTTTGTCTTCTAAAAGCTAAAAATTTATCAGCATGCCCATTTGGTTCTGTAAGCATGTCCAATAATTGTATACCATACTTAAGTAATTTGCTCGCAGAGGCAGGGTCACATATCAGATCAATTTACGGTTGCAAAAGGCTTGAGACTGGGAGATCCTTTATCCACTACATTATTCAAATTAGTATTAGAAACTGTAATCAGAAAATGCAGCATAAAGATGGAAGAAACGATCATGAAAAATGAGCACCAGTGCTTGGCATTTGCTGATGATCTAACGATCCTAGCAAAAACCGAGTAAGAATTAAGAAGAGTTGTGAAGAAAATCATCGAAGAAGCACAGAAATTTGGATTGGAACTAAATGAAGACAAAACTAAATATATGATCATAGAACAGAAGGGAAAAAAGAAGACTTTAGTATGAGGTCAGTAAGTGGTAAAAGCTATAGTTTTAAAAGGGTGGACAAATTTGAATACCTTGGTGTAGTTTTCGATGAAAATGGAAAAGAGAAATGGGAGCTCGTAGCCAGAATAGCAAAAGGGAATAAAAAATTAGGTGGTTTAAGAGCCCTACTGAACTCAAAATACGTTTCTAGACAAGGTAAACTCAGAATATATAAAACAGTAATTCGACCCACAGTAACATATGCCGGTGAGCCTGGACATTAAATAAGAAGGAAGAGGATACTCTGGAAAGATGGGAAAGGAAAATATTGAGATGCATATTCAGAGGACGAAAGGCAGATGATGGTTGGGAGAGAAGAACCAACAATGAATTAATGGCTTTATACAAAGAACCTACTATTACCAAGTTCGTCAAGGCACAAAGAATCAGATGGTTGGGACATGTGGAAAGAATGGCAGCAAACAGAATTCCTAAACTAGTAATAACCAGAAAATTAATCGACCCCAAAAGAAGAGGTAGACCCAGAACGAGGTGGATTAGTAAAGCGGAGGAAGACCTTAAACACGTGAAGGTGAGAAAATGAAAAAAAAAGCACAAAATAGAAGCGAATGGAAAAATATTGTACACCAGGTCCTTCAGAGTAGTTAAGAATGTTATATATACATATTTACGTTAAAGTTTTGTTTAAAATAATTGTAATTAGTTAATATTAGAATTATGTTGTAAAAAAATGCTCTAGGCCTTAACGGCCTGTTGTGCGTAAAAATAAATAAATAAATAATAGAGTGCAAAAATCGAAAGAATCGCGTTTTTTGCATTAATTGTTAATCATTAAAAAACGGCTCCGAACTTTACGCAGGAAATAGGTAGGTTTTCTTCTTATAGGTCTACAATAACTAAAAAAGTTGTCAGCTACCTGGATTATTGAGTGTCACGAGAAAATCCTTATTAGCCTGGACTAATATGGCTGGACAAGCAAGTGAAGAAACAAACTTCATATATTATGTAAACTTTACTAACAAAAACGTTGAAAATAAATATTCCTATAAATATAAATAATCAAATTCCATATTCAAATACAGCAAAATATTTGGGTATTGTCCAATAAATATAAATAATCAAATTCCGTATTCAAATACTGCAAAATATTTGAGTATTACTCTAAGCTTTTATGTAAAGAAGAAACTGGTTTGTCAAAAGTCGAAATAAACCCTAATAATGTTATTCAACATTATTTATGACCCACCTTCGAGAGGGTATTATACTTCTTACCTAACCAACCTAACCGTGTCGACGAGAATCCAGAAACTATCGACAAGGACAGCCTGTACTGGCCGAGAGAGAAAGTTACATTTAGCAAAATTTGAGATTTTAAAAAAAGTTTATACCAAATAGCTGCTTTGTGTTACACTTTATGTTAAAAATAAAAACAGATTCGGAAAGTGGGTCAAATTCTGTAGTGCCCTATTTCAAAAAAAAATTTTTTACGTTTATTTTAACCAAAAATATTTGAAAAAAAAATATTGTTTAAACAATTTATTAATTTACAACTAAATAGTGCACTAGAACTTTTTAAGACCTTTCATATAAAAAAAGAATCATCTCAATATCTGCCATAGTTTTTGCGTTATTTGATATAAACTTTTACATTGGAACTTAGGTATGCCCAGAAACGCAAGGAACGGCCTTAATATTTAGTCTAAAATTTATTCGTCCTCGGTGTAATATCATTGACTCATCTAAACTCAAACTACGATCAGGATAATAAATTTATTCTAAGCTCTTATTGAAAAAGTTTACAATAATTGATCTACTTTTATAAATTCTCCCTTCTGGTACCGGCTCTCCTGCTTCCGGATTTTTAATAAAATAACCATTTCATAATAACCATTGCATAATGGGCATAAATCTGTTTCGGTACATGCGAGTAAAAAAATTTTATTACCAAAAAGGAATTTTTGCGACAACCTTGCATTCTAGCTAATAAAATGTGATCCATAGGTAAAACCAATCCCAAAAATAGTAAGTAGTTCATCGGAAGTAAGAATTTTCCAATCGAAAATTCTAGAATATTGAGCCCCCGCATGCAATAAGAAAAGCTGTTCGGCATAGGTACTTATTAGCTTCGTCACATACTTCCTGCAGACAATTATCTGTAAATATCATTAGATAATAGTAAATTGGCTCATCACCATATAATGGGACTAGTAACTCATGATGTTTTGTAAGTGGAACATTTTTCGTACCACTAAAATTTTCTTTCCGTTTATTTCATTCATCGACATCAACAGTCATCTTAGCCTAAAGTTCCAAACCTTTTAAGTAAAAAGTAATAGGGATTTAATTTTATTACTTACATTATCTTCTATATGCTCAGTAAGTGAAGTAGGTAAGTCATTTCCATATTCTTGTTTTTTAAATCTAATTTTTTTCTTTTTTCACTATAGCCCTTGGTAAAATATCGTCTTTATTTATTTTTCTACATAAAAAATATACTCACCATAACTTACTAAACAGTTGTCGATTTCATTTATTATTTTATTAATTTTAAAATTATTTATTGCACATCTAAAAATGACTATTAGTGAAAAATAGTAATCTTTAGAAAAATACACACTGTTTGGGTAAAAATTCGGAAGATGAAAAACTGACAGCGTAATAGGAAAATATAAACTTCTAGTCAGGTGCAGTCACGCATAATATAACAACAAACGATGAATATCTGAATGCGAAAAAGCGTCACCGGCTTCTACCTATACTCAGGTACTGATGCACTAGCTCGTCATTGGCACTGAACGTGTTAAATCTTAAAACAAGCATGAAACACTATTTAACTAACAAAAATCTTGAAACCAAGCAATAAAGATTTGATTTCTTTCTATTTTAGTTTTATTTTTAATGCTCATTTCTTTCTCAAGTTGATTAAATTTTTATCGATTTTTATTTCGATAATCTCTAAATTTGTTGTAATTGAAACATTTATAGACAAGGCGAAAAGGTCGAGTTCGTTCGGGAAAATGTCAGACTTTTTTCCTTAATCACCTTCGCGAGATACTCAAAATAAAGTTCAAGAGGTCGCCAAGGCGAAAAGTTGTTTAAATTTTTTTAAACAATTTTTTAGGCCCGGACAAAAATTTTTTTTTATGTATTTTTTTTGGATCATTCTGAACACAATATATTATTTTTAGAATCATCAAGTGCCTAAATTGAAGTTTAAGCCTTCTTCTATCAGCTCCTGATCAACATTCTGGGCTTATTTTTATTTTAAACCATTGTTTTTTAATTTATAATGAAGCGCGTATGGCAGGGCGGGCGCTCATTTGTATCAAGCAAGCAATAGTTTAACCCAGCCTGAGAGACGTGCACACCCCTTAAGTATGACATTAGGGAGATACAATTCATTGGAGCGTGCAGGATTAACTCGTGTAAATAAGAATCACTCCACCACGCTCCAATGCTCCAAACCATCAACTTTTCCTCCGATAGCGCTCTGTTGCTTATCAGATCAGCAAAGTACTTGTCGTGTGGAAGTTCTAGGTATAAGGCGTTCTCACGAAATCCTACCCCGAATAATGCAGGCCAGCGTAAAGCGCTCTATTCCCGCTGTATCTCGTTACTTCTCATTGATCTATAATGCGTTCCCACGAAATTCTACCCCGAACAATGCAGGCAAGAATAAAGTGCTCTATTCCCGCTATATCTAGTGACTTATCATCGATATGTAATGCTTGCTAGGCCTTGCTCTGGCCTAAGCCCAGTTCGGTGACTCGGCGTTCGAGGATGTGGGCCCCTCTTGTCTGATTTTTTGAGTTTTGTTAGTATTTTTTGTGGCTTACGCCTTTTGTTAGTGGCTTATTAAGTTTTTTGGGTGGCTAACGCCGTTTTTTGACTGTTTTTATGTTTTTTTTACGGCTGTCTGAAACATACTTTGGCACTGCCATGCTAAAGGCGAGCGTAATATCTTCTTTTGATAGAGCTTCATTTATCTAGACTTTATTATATGGTTGCTGTTTGCATCTTCTGTGCTTCAATCTATGGTACACATCATACCTTAAAATCTCTCGCAGGATCTGGTTTGAATGGTCTTTTAACTCCATGTTAATTTTGTTCTGGTTTTTTTTTCTCCATCATATCCAGTACCCTTATTTGTTTTAGGTCTCTGAACAGGAACCATTCAGCGATGTATCTAGGCACTGTTTGTAGCTTCTCTAAGGCAGTTGTTAGGTTCAGCTTGAATCTTCTTTTTGTTGCTAGGACTTGTGTGTTTCCATGCAACAGATGCATATATAATTATTGGTAGTATGATGCTGTTTATCAGTCTTAATTTTGTCTTCATAGCTAATTTTCTTCATCCTCCTGTGAGTCCTTTTATTGCGGATCCGACCATTGCTGTTTTCTGGACTGTCGAGTTAACATATGGTGTGAATCTTAGACCTTGGTCTATTGCGACTCCTAGGTATTTAACTTCGTTTGGCCATCCGATTGGTCTATCTTGCACTGTTAGCTGTTCTTCTGGTTTATCTCTTCTCTTTTTGAAGATAACCGCTTGAGTCTTTTCTGGATTTATTCCTATTTTCCATTGGATACTCCATTATTCTTTCGTTTCCAGTGCCGTCTGTAGATTTCTTACAGCCATATCCAAGTTCCTATGTTCGATCCCTGAAAATCGCAATTTTGCGTTTTTCTCAGTTTTTAATTATTTATAACTCGGAAACGATCAAGTTTACAGAAAAAACTACAAGAGACCTATTTTGTTCAGAATGTTCTAAAAATTAAAAACAAAATTTTCTGGTCCGGAAAAATTTATTGTTACAATTTGTTTCAAAAAATGTGAACAACTTTTCGTCTGGGCGACCTTTTGAACCTTATTTTTGGGTATCTCATGAAAGTGATTATGCAAAAAAATCTCATGGCTATATTTTTCCTAATCAACCCGAGTTTTCCGCCTCGTCTGTCATGGTCTGTACACCGACAACTCACAGTTGTCACGTTTAGCCAGCTCAACGTGTCTCCAGATAACTCTTATACGCTTATGGATTATTCTCGCTATATTGAGAATTTGTCTCGTTGCCTCACGTTTCACTTGAAACAGATAAAAGTTAAATGCTTCCGATGTATTATAGTGCTTTATCATTGTAAACAATGATGAGCTAATTACAAAAATGAGAGAATAATAATCTGAAAATTAAAAACGCTTTTAAACGTAATCTCCGGTGCTCTACGATTTTAATTTTTGTTTTTAACGCTTTTCTTATAACTCGTTTTTGTTTATTTTTACAGACTGTGAGAAACTATGTTTCCGCTACTACGACGGAACGTCAATGGAATATATAGCCCAGTCAGATCCGCTTATAATCAAACATCCTGTAGACAAAATCAAAAAATTAATAAAAGTCAAAAAACAAAAATGCAACGGTATAGAAAATGACGCATTTCAAGACGAAACAGACCTTCTTCATACACCGGATATAATGAAACCTTCAAATTCGTTAGAGACTTTAGATAACGGCGATCACATTGTATCTGGAGCTAAGAAAAAATCGCCGAATGGTTTGAAAATTACCGGTTTAAATGGCACCAAGAAAAAAATTAGGTCAAAGAACAGTCCTAGGTCGCCTAAATCGCCCGGTAAGGAATATTATCAGATTTGGGACGCATCTTCATCTCCATCACCGGAGTCCGAAGGTAAGTTGTCTAATTCTACAAGTTTTAGATATTAAATTTTAAGTTTATTTTTAGTTTGTATTTTATACTTTTAGTTTACTATATTCTACATTCCTTTTCTATTTGCAGTACATTTTTTTATTTCAGAATCATCCATCAATTTCCGAATATTATCTTTATTTCTATATACTTTATTTCTTTGGTATTTCAAAAGTCAACACAGTATCGTCTTTTTTGTCTCGCTAATTCCAAGCATCATCATTTAAATTCAACAACTTTTCTTTTATTTTTTTTTTCTACCATATTTGTATAGGGTATCCGGAAACGCTTTTCACAAAAGAAAATTACAAACTCTGGAATTCATTTTATGTCTATTTGTCGTAAATAACTTCATTGAAAAATGCTTCCCAATGAAGCTAGAGCTACACATTTACGACCGTTGATGTGCCGTAATAAAGAAATAATGTTCGGGGAAGTACATAAACACTTTTGTCTAGCGAGACGTACCCTACAAGTACAACTGTTTTAGTCTTCATCTGATCGAGTTCGAGTGCGTGTTTCTGATTTATTTTATTTAAAATATGCCGAAATTTTTGACGCAAAGGCCAGAGCTAGCCTTAGAGAAGCTGGTATGTGAGTTGGGCGATGAAAATGATAAGCATATCTTTATTCTTGGAGGTCTGTGCACGTTTGAACATTTTGTTTTTTTTCTGTTAAGTATTACTGAGCAAATTTTTCGTTTTTTCTAGAACAAATTAACGCTGTCTATATTCCACCCAAGGTAGATCAACTGACAAATGAGAAAGATTTCGGAGGGGACCTTGCAAATGCAAATAATGCCCAGACTATTAACATAACAGGGACTTAGAAGGGTCTGTCACCTTTGTATATTTTTTTCTTTATTGGACGTTTATCGATGAAGACCTAATGGGTTTGATTATTCAGTTTTCGAAAAAACTCGCGAAAGAATAACAGACATAATTTCCGTCTATCACCAGAAGAAATGATGAACTTTCTGGGAATCATATTTCCAGGATACCATTCATTACCGCAAATTAATATGTATTGGTCCTTTGATGAGGATATGGATATTGTCAGAAAATGTATGAGGCGGAATAAGTTCAGATCAATAAAGCAAAACCTACGTTTGAGTGGTAATGACAACTTGGATGTAACTGTCAAATTTATAAAACGTCCGTCTCTTTTTTGACTCACTCAACCAGAAATTTTTACAGTTTGAAATTTTTTCATGTAACTTTTCTATTGATTTTTAAATGATACCTTATTTTGGTTGACATTCTTGCAAGATGTACATCAAAGGCAAGCCTGTTCATTTTGGATTTAAGATTTGGTGCATGTGATCTTCGAATGGATACGTATCAATTCATTTCTTACGCGGGAGCTGCGGAAAAGAAAACTGTACTTGGACTTGGCGCGAGTGTAGGTCTTAAACTTTTGTCACATGTGAAAAATGGTTCAGAATCATAATATCTTCTTTGATAACTTTTTCGCGTCTTACAAACTGTTGTCTCTTTTGAAAGTACAATAATTCTTTGCCACAGGGACTACTCGCGAAAACCGAACAAGTAATTCTCCTTTTATACCAAGTAAATTGTTCTCAAAACTGGAGCTCCTAGAGTTCATAGTTTAAGGAATCAACTTATATTTCTTTGGTGAAATGGAGCGATAATTCCATTGTGACAGCAGTTAGTACCCATTATAATATAGGACTTCTCAGCTCTGTTAAATAGAAAACTAAAAAAGAGATGGTCTCACAACCAGCCATAATTTCTGCATATAATAAATTCAAAGAAGAGGTAGATTTGCATGATAATGGTGCAACAAAGTATACAGTATTGTGCGAATTAATGTGAACAAACAGAATTAATTTGTAAATATGATTTATTTAGTCCAAAGGTAAATTTAGGTACACTTACATGAGGTTTTTTCATTAATTAGTAATTAATATGTCCCCCTTTTACTTTTATGGCTTCCTGGAATTTTCTAGGCATGGAATCTACAAGTTTTTTGCAATTTACGAGGAAGGGTGCGTTTCGATTTAATCTGACTCTCTTACCACTCCCTGACACGTGTTTCTGGGTCTACCCGTCATCAGAAGGAGTTTGTAAGAAGATTCAAACCAAATCAAAACGCACCGATTACTCTGGCAATTACATTAAAATAACTGCGAGAGTATGCAACTAGAGACTTCTAGTGAGGAAAGATGAAGATTCGTCGATAGCAATTAAAGTAAACTGTATACCCAAGCTTAATGAAGCCATTTAGAGCGGTCCTGGGAATAAATTATATTCCACTATGCACCAACAATTTACCCATATAACTTACCATCATTCTTGTACTCATTGCGTCGAGTAAGGACGATAAATATACGAAGAAGGTTGCGTTTCGATTTAATCTGACTCTCTTACCACTCCCTGACACGTGTTTCTGGGTCTACGCGTCATCAGAAAGAGTTTGTAAGAAGACTCAAACCAAATCAAAACGCACCAATTACTCTGGCAATTACATGAAAATAACTGCCAGAGTATGCAACTAGAGATCTCTAGTGAGACCTCTAGAGACCTCTTTTTTATATTTTAGTATGCAACTAGAGACCTCTAGTGAGACCCCTAGAGATCTCTTTTTTGCAATTGTTTGTGATTGCTTCATCTCTAAACCACATCTTAATCGCTGCTTCCACCATTTTTGTTTTTGCCGTACAGTCAAATTTTTGCAGTTTAGCCTTACATATTGCCCACAAATTTTCAATAGAATTAAGGTCAGGTGAATTCCCAGGCCAATCAAGAAGGTAATATTATTATCCTTGAAGTATTTCATCATAACCTTCGATACATGGCACGGAGCTGAATCATGTTGAAAAAATTGCAGTCCCTTAGGCCTGTATTTTATCAAGCTCTATAGCTAACCGTTGCCCTGCAATGGCTTTTTACTTTTCACTGTTCATCATACCTTCAATAGGACTAAGAGTGCCAGTTTCGTAGTATGAAAAACAGCCCCAGAAAAATTTTTTGGTGGGGTGTTTAACTGTTAGGTTAATTTAGCTAGCTGAAAGTGACTCATTGGCTGCCTTTCGTACGAATTTTGATCGCTGGCCCTGCACTAGAAAGTGGGTCTCATCAGAAAATAACACTTTTCTCCAATCTTCTGCACTCGAATGAGCGTATTTTTTGCCCAATTTAGTCTTTTTTTCATCATAGGCGCTGTCAGAAGTTGTGTCTTCTGCGGTATCACGGCTCTTCTCCCCCTTCTAAGAGACGTCTCGTACCGTTGAGTCGTTAATTTTTATTCCAGCCTTTTCTAAATCTTGCTTGAGGTCATAACTTGTTTTTCTGGGATGAAGTTTACTATCGCGCAAAAAAAGGGCTTCATCTCGAGGAGTAGTCTTCCGTTTTCTTCCACATTTTCCTTTCCGCTGCACTTCAAATGACACTGTTTCCTTTTTTTTTGTTTAATTATTTTGTTTACTGCACCCAAACTTACATAACACTCCTTTGCAATGTCCCTCTGAGTCATCGGCGTATGCTCACTAAGTGTTATGATCCTTTTTCTTTTCCTAGAAGTGATTTCCATATTAAAAAGTTAAACCTGATTGCCACAGTTCAATCAATGAACATAACACCAACTTGCACATAACCTGAGATACAACAAAATATAATAATGATATAAAAAACAAAGCACGTGTTTTGAACAATATACTAATAAGGTTTTGAGGCTATGTTGTTTTATTTTGACAAAACAGTTGACAGAATAGGCACAGCAGGTGTGCTAACTTATGAAAACTGAATTTCGATATCTGTTGACATTAATTCGCACAATAATGTAGATCCTGTGTGTTGGGTAAGAAATGGTGGTGTATTATAAATACAATCGACAGTATTCTTGTAAATGCTTGGAAAATATACAATACTGTACATGATAGTAAAATGACACAACTAAATTTCAAATCAAATATCGCTGTCCGACTTCTGAAAATGAAGAATTTCGTCCCAAGGGTACTTCCTTCAGAATCACCCAATGAAGTAAGGATTGATCATACTGGGCATGTTATTATTAGAACTGATTCTCGTAGAAGATGCCGTGTGTGTAAAAGTCAAACAATTTATATTTTTGAACGTTACACAATTTATTTCCACGCCGACCGTTTTCGGTAATATTTTTATCACTTAACGCTTTAAAGTCAATGCTGCGTATGCGCAACACCGTTTATTTTAAGAAATGACTAAGTAATTTTAATTTTTTTTTAATCATACATACAATACGTGTTATTTTAGTGTTTTTTTTATAAAAAATATGTTGTTTTTCATATCTAAGATTTTTTGATTTTTTCTCACCTTGGCCCTAAATTGGTTAAGGAGGTTAATATCACATCAACTTTTTTATTTTTTAAAATTTTACCATTTTGACGTAATATTTAATTTAATTAATTTTTCGATGTTTTTATATAAAAATGATGCCCTTATCTAAAGTCCATATGACGCACTATTTTCGAGAAAAATTTACTTGTACTTTTCATTTATATCAATGCATAGGTTTCCATTCACTATCAAATTTATTTCTAAATTACGTAACGTGAGTTAATTATGCCGCTGTTTCTATCTTTCTTCAATGTTTCGTCAATCAAAAAGTTGTACAGAGTGATATCTTGTCTTACATCGTGCTAGTTTTCTTCAGTTTTCTGTTTTTTATTTATGTTACATAATGATTTCATCTGATGATGGCTATTCCTTATTCGTGTATAAATCCTTCCTGGAGTATTTTGCCAGAATTTCATTCGCTGTCTAATCTTCTTCTCTGGTGCTACATTTTAATTTATTTGTTTTGTGTTTTGGTCTTCATATACCTTTTGTTTTTATTTTTGATCCTTGAATTGTAGTTTTCGTATTTACCTTATAAGATTTTTTATAGTTTTATTTTATCCCTGCAAAAGTCCAACTTAATTCCTTTGGTTTAATTTAAATATATTTAAATTTTTAGAAAACGCTTGTGGTATGGATTTCTCTGCGGAAGCACTGGCACCTCCATTACCTCCAAGAACTCTACACAAACCGTTAGAGAGGTGTCACGCCTTGGGTACCCCATTTACCCCCCCTGTTGTACTCCGGCAAAACAAACCAAGAAAAATCCAAAAATTAGAAGATACATTCGGCTTCGAATTAATAGACACCGACGAAGACTTTAAACCAAGTGGTAGGTACTATACATTTTTCAACAATATTAAATTTGCTTCTTTAACAGGATAACAATTCATTTTGAAATTATTAAGGAGTTATGGTAGATTTTACTGGCGATGATTTGTATTACCCGGAAACCTACATTGGTTTAAGGGCTTATAGGTCATTGGCTAGAATATTTTTTTCTGAAATTTTATCTTAAGTTACGGTTAACTGAGTTAACGAGCAGGCTCCGTCAGGAAAAAAAACTACAACCGTTGACCCATCGCGTTTGATAATTATTGACGCATTGTCCTCAACCGCGGACGAAATGCCCTGAAGAAATAAATATTTTAAAACCACGGGCTGACAGCAATGTATCATTACAATTTTTAAATTTATGAATATCCAAAAATCGTGGAAATTCTCATGGAAGATAAAGAATATATTCTTAACAGTACCGGACTGGAGTAATACAATTTTATTATGCTGATTACTAATATGCAAGAATTTTTGTTATCCATCTTCTGGATACCGACATCGACAATATAAAAACAAGTTTGAACTTTAAACATAATTTTCATAAACTTCGTTTCTTGGCGTACAAAGAGGTCCAGTTATCCCGCCCACCTGTTACCAGACGAATCATAAGCAAATATTTAAAATCCCAATACTCCAGTCGTCAAAGACGAAAATGCCACTGAACCTCTAAAAATCAACGAACAAGCTAAATTTTGCCGAGAATATTAATTTTGGGACCGCAAAAGATACAAAAAAGTTTACCACTTTTACCCCCGGGTTTCACATTAAAAAAACGCAAAAAAATCGATTTACCAAGAATCTGTACGCTGAAGAAAAAGAATGATTTAAATAACAAATGTAGCTGAGATAATTTTAAACAAAAATATTTATTAGAACTTTTTGTGTAGAATGAACCGTTCTCTTAGAAACAACGCTTGAAGCGACCGTCGATTTTGAATGTCAGTTACGCGCGCGAAATCAATGTTCAATAAAATTTGCATCATCTCAACAAGAAAAATTCGATATCTTTTGATTCAAGTGTCCTATCGATATAAATCAAGATGCGTTTTAAAGGTAAAGAGTTCAGCTTTTGAATACAATTTTTCTATTTTTCCGCAGATAAATTCAGATTTTATAAATGTGTTAAAAAAATAAACGTGGCGCGATTTTTCTCTTTTTTAACGATTTTCATGATATCAATACTATTTATCCTTTTCATTGACTGGCCAATATGAAGTTTCGATAACTAGAGCCTAATCTTTACATAACAAAAGATCTAAAACGTTTAAACTGTTTTTTTTTTCAATTACACTAGTACGTTATTAAAAAAGCCAACCTTTTGCTATAAACTACCCTTAAAATCGTCTTCTATGAGGCACTTTCTGTGACGTGCGATCGTTTGTAATTTAAAACATTAAAGTCTGCGTTTTTATCCATATTTCAAATGCCTCATATTTGTTGCCACAAATCAAAATTAAAATATCATGTCATAGGTTTTAAAGATATCATGTCATGGATCGCTAAAATTGGAAATTTTATTACGACTGGTCAATGAAAGTGATTAATTCTATTGATCTCACGAGAATCGTAAAAAATGGCAAAAATTGCGTCTCGTTTATTATTTAACACCTTTATAAACACTGAGTTTATTCGCGGCATACCGCAAAACGCATAAGAAAGTTGCACTCTTTACCTTTAAAACGCATCTTGATTTTTGTCGATAGGATATTTGGATCAAAAGATATCGAATTTTACCGTCGAGCTAAACATTGGCACATATTAAACAATTTCGCGGGTGTGACTGACATTCAAAATCGAGGGTCGCTTCAAGCGTTGTTACTAAGAGAACGGTTCATTCTACGCAAAAAGTGTTAATAAGCATTGTTGTTTAGAATTAAATCAGCTACATTTTTTATTCGAAATATTTTTTTCTACGGCGCACAGATTCGTGGTAAATTGATTTTTTTGCTATTTTACCCGCCTACGAGGGGGATTTTAAGGATAGTGGTAGCCCGGGGGTAGATTAGATTAGATTAAGAGAGGTGGCCTTTCGGCCTATTCCACTGCGACCTTTTCAGATCTATTGTGGCCCTCTAGTCCTAGACAACATTCTCTAGCCTGACCCTCTTTATAAAGTCTAGTAGCTTCGAGACTGTACCTTCCATGTAGCTGTTTGTCGGTGGATTTTCTACTCTTAATGCAAAAAACCGCACATTTGCCAGACTGTCACACTGACATAAAATGTGCTCTGCCGTTTCTTCTTCGAGGTGACAGAATCTGCACAGGTCATCATCTGATAATCCCATTAGCTTCAAGTGCCTATTCAGCTTACAGTGCCCTGTTAGAAGACCTACTATGGCTTTGACTGTTTTCCTATCTTTGCTAATTAGGTCCGCCGTAAATTTTGGCGAATGTTCTCTAATGAACTGTTTCGCCTGTCTTTGTCCTGGTGAATTCCTCCACCATTCCAGAGATTTGTGAGCTACCCACTCCTTTGTAGCCGTTCTTGTTACTGACTTTGCAACGCCGCAGAAGGGTTCCGGTCCAATGAATGGGATTGATGAGCCTTGTTTGGCCATTTCATCTGCTTTTTCATTGCCCTTATGACCCTCGTGCCCCGGTACCCAGGCTACCGTAACCTTGCTACGGTCTCCTAGTTTATTTAGGGCACACACGCAATCCCATACTAGCTTAGAATTGACCTCTACAGAATTGAGTGCCTTAAGCGCTGCCTGACTATCTGTGAAGATGGCAACTGAACAGAACGTTTTTTCCTGCCTTTCTATTTCTTCCACACAGTGATGGATTGCAGTTATTTCCGCCTGGAAAACTGTCACATCCTTAGATAGACTTACCGGGAAATGTATCCCTTGATTTGTCCCTACTATGCCGGCTCCAACACCCTCCGATGTTTTTGAGCCATCCGTGTACCAGGTAGCAGCAGCTTTTATGGGTACCCCTTTATTCCACTCTTCCCCGCCCGGTATCTTAATTGTGAATTTATTGTTAAAGCTATATCTAGTAGCTGTTGCATCGATAGGTTTCCCCATCACAATATCGGTTTTTAGCTCCTCGATTAGCTTTCTGTTGTCAGTACCATGCGTTTGGCTTATATGTCGCTGACTATGGATTAATCTGTGCATCACTGATCTGGCTTCGCCCTGTATAAAGATATGAAGTGGTGGTAAATTCAACAGAACTTCCAACGATGCAGTATAAGTTGTTTTTATGGCCCCAGTAATACACAGACATGCTAGCCTTTGTGTACTACCTAGCAGCCTTATTGCTCCCACTTGCTTCGTCTTTGTCCACCACGTCACCGAGCCATAGGTTATCATGGGCCTAGTAACCCTTGTATATAACCATAGAGTCATTTTGGGGTTTAGCCCCCAATTCTTACCGCACATTCTTCTACATCTGCCCAGGGACATAGTAGCTTTCTGTGTGGTTTTTATAATATGAGTATTCCATGTAAGCCTATGATCAAAATATACCCCAAGGTATTTTGTTTCTTTGGCAAATGAAATCTCTGTTCTTCCCAGCACCGGTGGTTTTAGGCCTTGTAGTGCTGTTTTCTTGGTAAAGTTGACGATTTGTGTTTTCTGAGCATTGACTATCAGTCTCTCTTCTTTACACCAGTCGTCAACTATATTTAGGGCTGCTTGCATTCTCCCAGACACCACCTGAGCAAACCTGCCCCTGACGACAATTGCTATATCGTCAGCATATCCTAGACAATAAAAGCCTTCTGTTGACAAATTTCTGAGGAGATCATCTACCAAGGTTGCCCAAAGTAGAGGGGACAGAACTCCTCCTTGTGGACAGCCTCCACCTACTTTTGCTTTGATGGTTGCTTTACCCAGAGTGGACATTACTATCCTATTCTCTAGGGATGCCCTTATCCATCAGCCCGGGGGTAAAAGAGGTAAACTTTTTTGCATCTTTTTTGAGGTCCCAAAAGGTTATTATTCTCGGCAAAATTCAGCTTGTTCGTATAATTTTTAGGATTCAACTCTCTGACGACTGGACTACAACTGTAGTAAATTGATATGTAATCTATATTCGATGTTTGATGAGTTCACTGATATGACTGATACTGCCAGTTATGTATTTTCATCCGGATGGTATTCCTTGATATGTAGCTAGAGAATTATGAACAGTGCTAAACCTGTGAAATAAAAAAACGGGATGTGGCACTCCGGGAGTGACCAAGAAAGATATTTCTTATGTTCTACGCACGAAGTGATGGTTTTTAATTTAATTCATTTGATTTGATTTCAATCTATTTATCCATTCGATTTGATTCCATTCCATCCCAATCGATTCAATTCTATTTCAATCGATTCGATTTGATACGATTCGATTCCATTCGATACTATTCGATTCCAATAAATTCAATTCCAATCGATTCGATTAAATTAGATGTCAATCGATTCGATTTGATTCGATTATATTCCAATCGATTTTTTTCCATTTGATTCGATTCCATTCGATTAAATGCGTTTTCACGGTGCGAAGCGGTGTTGTTATGGAATATGTAATTATTAAATCAAAAATATTTATTCTCTCCGAGGGTTAACAAAGTGTCAAAGCAAAATCGACTGACCTGCTCATGGTGGCGATAACTTGAAATCTTATCAGGACGCTTTTGTGCATGGTACAATGAACATATTCATTGTACCATGGATGTTGATCATTGGTTGATCATGTATATATAACCTCACTTTCGTATAGTATGTTAATAAATCTCTATTAACGACAAAAAATATTTTTGTTGAACTATAAATGTCACTATAAATAGATAACTAATTAATTCTAAAAATTGTATCCGGATATTAACACTACAAAATAAAATATTTAAGTTTAACAAAATAATCCCATAAGACTCAATACTAAAACCAAAGAATATAAACGCTTATAAGCGTCTATATTCTTTGCTAAAACGTCCTCACATATCTGACAGCGTGTCACGTGACTGTAAATAGAGGGGAGACCCACGGAGCCATCGAGCAAAAAGACAAAAGAGGGAATATAAAGGTAGTGGGGGCAAAAATATTGTTAGACAGGAA